AAATAGACTTGCCTATTAGAGACATTTCATACAAAGGAATGACACAGCACGTGGTCTTTGGGGGCTGGCTCCTTTCACTTAGCTCACTGTTTTCAAGGTTCATCAGTGTGGTAGTACCATTAGCACTTCACTCCTTTTTATGGCCAAATGATATTCCACTGGATGGACAGACCACACTTGTCAGCTAACAGACAATCCTGCCTGGTCTTATACATCACTTCAGATAGTAAGTGATTACAGTCAGAACAAAAAATTATTAATAATAATAAATAAAACCATTTACTAAGTACCTGTTACATTTACATCATAGGAATGTGCTTTATTTACATTTTCTGATGAAATCTTCCCAGAAATCTGTAAGTACTATTGTTCTTATTTTACAGATAAAAAATGCTAAAAATCAAAAGGTATAAATTTATACCTTAACTTGGTACGGGGAAGTCAATGGTATATGGACTTGAGATGGGAGGGGAAGAAACAGACAGCAATGCTCAGGACTCTACAACGTGTGGCATCTGTTCTTTCTTTTTCTCCCACATATCTGAACGCAGATACTCAGAACCAGCATGGACTAAAAGAAGGTTTGAAAACCAGGATTGTAGAACTTCAAAGCCCATGTTCTTTCTAAGAACCAGTACTACCTTATACCAAATGGGCACTAAGTTTTCTTTCCAGTTCAAAATCCAAAATAAATTCCATTATCTGGAATAGAGATTTTTAACCTTGGCACTACAGACTTTGGGGGCGACATAATCCTCGACTATGGTAGACTGTCCTGTGCACTGTGGATGGCTCATAGCATTCCTGGCCTTTAACACACTAGACAGCAACAGCATTCCCTCAAGTTATGACAACCAAAAGAAGTCCCCAGACATTGCCAAATTCCCCTGGGGAAGGTCAAAATCACTCCCAGTTGAGAAATAATGACCTAAAACTAATGGTTAATAGTCAACACTGAGTGGGGAGAAAGCAGGTTCAAAGGAACAAAAAACCAAATGATGGAAGAAATGGATAGCTGCTTTTATTAAAAAAAAAAAAAAATCATCTAGTGAAATCTATATTTGTATTTCTCTACTTCTCTACAAATTCAGGGGTAAAACTTTCAGCCAAGCCATAGATGTTCTAAATATAGTTAACATATCAAATGGCTGAGTAAGAGTTTTCTTTATTAGCAAGACTTGCAGGTTTTCAGCAAAGGAGATTTCAGCACATACCTGGCAAGTATAGTAGTTTACAACTCTCACAGAAGCAAAGTGGTCTACTGCAGTAAGCAATACACCAAATTCAGGGAATCTCTACCTTTATGCCTTAATTCCCCCATCTGTTAAAAAAAAAACAAAAAAAAAACAGGTACAGGGAAAGGCAGAAAAGCAGAAGGGGTCTAATCTGAACTGCAGAGGAGATTTCACAAACTGATTTGTTATTACTATCATATTAATCACTCCTGCTCAGGCTTTGATCAGAAGCTCCACAGTACCATTATAGTACTAAACATATCAACCTAACCTAGATTAAAATTATGCTCACTAAAATATGAATAGATAAAAATAAAGTTCTTAAACAGAACATATATCTCTCATGAAACTTCTCCTAAAATTTAGCTTCATAGTTTAAACTGATCCTTAGTTTATAATGTCATAAGCATTGCTGCCATGAGAAACAAGGGGAAAAATATGATCGGTCTCTAAGTATTTGTATTCAAATTGTAAAACTTAGCATCCTCTCCTGGAGCATTAGAAGTGTAGCACTAACATTAGAACTTTGACTCCTTCTCTAAGACAAAGATTGAAGCCTTTTGAAGTGCCGCCCACACAAAGGAGAGACCAGTGAGAACCAGAGGGCCAAGCACAGTGGTCCCGTCTTCCTTCATCCCACCTTGCTACACTATAGCAAGCATGGGGACAGGCTCTGGAATAAATGTATTTATTTCCATGCTCATTTCTTCCTCTCAGAACATAATATGAGATTCACAAGAGGAAGGGTAAGGAAAAGAACATTTCAAAAACAAAAACTTACAAAAAAGATCTTACTGAATGGTGAAACTTAAAAAACATTCTCTTCAAGATTAGAAAAAAAGACAAGTATATACTCTAAGAACATTCCAATTTAACCATGTGCTAGGAGTAACACAGCCAATGAAGAAAACTAATCAAAGGTGTAAGGACCAGAAAGGAAGAAATAAAACTGTTACCATTTTTAGAAAACCAAGAAATAATCTATAGACAAAAGTATCCTTAATAAGGGAGTTTACATAAGGTGGCTGTAAATTGCCACAGTTAAGGGAGAAAGGACAGAAAATGTGATTATAAAAAAAATTACAATAGCAGAAACACTATAAAATAATTTAATTGTTTTCCTTTTAATGGAGAAAATGATAAAGCTTTATTGAAAGATATTTTTAAAAACTACATAAATGGAGAGTCTATATTATAAAGATACACATTCTCAGCAGAGGGATCTACATATTTGATACAATTCCAATAAAAATACAAGTTCTTCCAGACTTTGTTTAGTGGACTCTAAGGTTTATATCAAAAAGCAAAGAGCCAAGAACAGCAAAGTCATTCCTAAAAAAGAACTAAGTGGGAAATCTGTCCCACCAGCTATCAAGAGTCATGATATATATAAAGCTCCAAGAGTTAGGACAGGGCGGTAATGGCACAGGCGTAAGTAACTAGATCGACAGGAAAGAAGACAGCCCAGAAATCTCAAAACCTAGCTTACGCCAGAAAGAATACCACAGGTCACTAAAGGAAAGATA